AACTTCTTCATTTATCCTCCCGGTGAAATAAGTTTCTCGTCTCCTTGTTCTTATCAATCAAATTCTTTTCCCGTGAGTGGCAGGTTGTCACCTCATAATTTGAGATGTATGCTATAAGACCATATCAAGCCTATTCTTTTCGTTGTTGATAATCCAACAACTCCGTTCTAGCCTTTGTTGTAAGCGTTCTCTGCCAAGATCTTGTTTTCTACTTCGTTCACTCCTTTCCATTCTCTCTTTTCTTACGGAGGCATTTTGATGTTGCTCTCTTCTACCTTTCTTCTTGTTCTTGTCAAGATCAAGTTCTTTTCATCTTATCAAGTCTTGCATCTCTTTTCAACCGGAGCGCTATACGCACTTGTTCTTCTTTGTTCCTGCTGTCTATCGGTGCGTTTTCAATTTTGTTCATCTCCGTTGTATTCTTTTCTCGTATTTGCTTAACCTCTCAAGGTTCTTTGGTTTCTCTCGTTTGTCAAAAAAGCAACTTAGTTTTACCTCTTCTATTTCTCTTCCGTTGTCCCTCCGGTGCCATTCTAGATCTCGGGACGAGATCCTCTCGTAGTGGTGGAGTGTTGTAACGCCCCGAGACCGATGTGCCAGGTGTCCTCCAGTTATTCGCTGTTGTTGCTTTGTCATTGCTTGTGTGTCATGCATTGCATATCATGTCATCTTGTGCATCTCATTTGCATACATGTTTGTCGCATGCATCCGAGCATTTTCCCCGTTGTCTGTTTTGTAATCCGGCGCTCCTATGTCACCCGGTGTCCCTTTCTACCTCTTTTCGTGTGCGGGTGTTAAACGTTTTCGAATTAGACCGAGACTTGCCATGCGGCCTTGGTTTACTACCGGTAGACCGCATGTCAAGTTTCGTGCCATTTGGACTTCGTTTGATACTCCAACGGTTAACCGAGGGACCGAAAAGGCCTCGTGTGTGTTGCAGCCCAACACCTCTCCAAAGTGGCCCAAAACCCACCTAAATCTCCTCCATCCTCTCGGTCGTTTGATCATGACCGCGTGGCCGAAAACCGTGCTCAATTTGGAGCCTCCTAGCTCCCTCTACCTATAAATATGTGCTCTCCTCCGAAAATTCCGCGCAGATCAAACCCTAACTTTTCCCCTCGCGCCGCCCGACACTTCTTCCACCGACGGACATGTCTAGCCGCCACCTCACTTCATCCCATCAGAAGCTGCCATGTCACCGCCTTCGCCGCCTTAGCCAACCGCGAATCGCCACCTGTCCACCGCCGCCTCCCCGCGACGCCGGGCCCGCGAAGCCCATCTCCGGCCCGTCCCGGGCCGCGCCGGGCCCGAGGAGACCCACAGCCTCGCCGCTCGCCGGATCTTCGCCGAATCTTCGCCAGACTTCGCCGCGCCTCGCTGGAGTGCCCCACCTCCACCTCGCCGTACCGCACCTTCGCCCGCTGCGAGCTTGCGCACAACCCGAGCGCCACGCTCCTCCCTGGTCGCGCCGCCGGACATCCTCCTTGCTCCGCCGCCGCCATGGAAGCACCCCACCGGAGCTCCTTCACCGCATGCCATCACGCGCCGCCACCAGATCCAGCCGGAACGGGTCCGAAGTGACCGGATCGGGTTGTTCCCGAGCGCCCAGCGCCTCCCCGCCTTGCTTCGAACCTCGCCGGAGGTCTCTGCCGTCAGCGCCGCCGCCATGACCTCCTGCCTCGAGCGGTCGCAGGAGGGAGACGGCCGGTCAGCCTCCCGGGCCGTCCTCATCCGCTTGTGGGCCGCGCCAAGCCGTCGGCCCAGCCGCACCGACCTCACCCCTCCATGTCCTGGGCCGAAGCCCATGGTGAGCCTGCCTTATCCAGCGCCCTGTGCATCATTTAGCTATCCAACGCTCACCTCTCAGTCCTGTTTTTTTCTCTAAGTCCCAGATCCTGTTAATTATTTTGCCATCTTCATCATGTTGTAACTCTGTCATCGTAGCTCCGATTCGCGTGTGTAGCATATCAAAATGTTCGCCTTGACGAGTACATCATTTCATCTCATTGCATCATTTTCATTTGAGCTCATCTTGATACCCGAAATGTTGTTGGAAGAGGCTATGTGAGTATTTTGTCAGATCTGTTTCAGCAAATGGCATTTTGTCATTTTTGCCATATTTAATGTGCGCATGCTATGATCCTGAGCTCTACATGTGTTTTCTTATATGCCATGCCATCTTTACAGGGGTGTATGCCATGTATTTTTGTGACATTTGTGGTGACTAGCACAAGCTTGCAAAGTAGCGTAAGCGGTAATGCTGATTTCAGGGACTTAGAATTTCACTAAGTCCTTGTCTTGTTTTTGTCGTTATGCCATATGTTCATGTTGTTTCCTAGTGATCCGTGCCTCTTTTGAGGATGAGCAGTAAGGATGTTTTGTTAACATTGTGGTGCTCCATCCATCCATGTCTTTGTTTGCATTTATGGAGCACCCTAGCTTGAGTCAATCGAGCTCAACTTTTGCTATATCGTGAATTCTGGCAGATTGTTGACATGTTTAGCGATTTTGCCGAGGATGTTGCTATTGATCCGTGCATGCTATGTTGTTGTTCTTTCCATGTCTAGCTTCTATGCTATGTATTCTTGATGGGTGTATGCTTAGTTTGTCATGTCATGCTCTGTAGTGAGTGTTGGTCCAAACTAGAGCCCTGTGCAGCGCCCCCTCGGGGAAACTCGAGGTTTGGTTTTAGTTGTATGGAGAGCTCATCTGAGTGTGCCCTGAGAACGAGATATGTGCAGCTCCTATCGGGATTTGTCAGCACATTCGGGCGGTGTTGCTGGACTTGTTTTACCATTGTCGAAATGTCTTGTAACCTGGATGCCGAGTCTGATCAGAATGTCTTGGGAGAAGGAATATCCTTCGTTGACTGTGAGAGCTTGTGCTTTTGCTCCCACGAGAGGCACGGTTGTGCTTTCACGAAAATCACGGACGTGCCTCTCGAAAACGAAAAAGAAACGCGTTTTCTGTTTTTTCCTTCCACGAGAGTCACGGTTTTGCTTCCACGAGAGACACATGTGTGATTTCGTCAGAGGAACGGGTGTGCCTCTTTCGGAGAGGGAAAAAACCATGCTCCCGGTTCGGTTTTTTCGTCCGGTTTATTTCGTGAAAAAAAATCCGTCAAAACCTATCAACATAGGATCTAGTTTTGAAGATCTCGACACGAGGAATCCAATGATGAAAACGGTTCGAGATTTGGATGCACGGTTTAAAAGATAAAGCGTTTTGAATAAACAAATCTACGAAAAAAGAGAAAACTTTTAGGTTGCGACAAGTGGCGCGCTGCATGCACGTTATTTATCGCGACTTAGGAAAGTGAAATGTTTTTTGCAACAAATATTTCTTAATTAGTGATTTCGATTACTGCCGCAGGCGGTCAAAGGTGGAGTATTCTAGAAGACGCGCTCAGTCATGGAAGCGGCCCTCGGACAGCTGGAACGAGCCCAGTCGCCGAGGAATGGTTCCAGTCACTGATCTGTAGGCCCGCTGTTGCACAGCCTGTCATTCGGGTATAAAGTGGACCCATTATATATACTCATTCAGAATATAAAATAATCTCAGGCGTGATCCTCCGGGGCCCCACGAGATCGAGTACGCGTTGGATGTTTTAAGAAAAGTCAGGCTTTTTCTGTGTAGCTAGACCCTGAACATTTCTAGATTTCACAGAACTACCCAACCTGATCCACATATCCATGCATTATTTATGGAGAAACAATTGGTCTGGGATCTTTGTTTGTTTACATTTGTCAAACAACAAGCTACTGAAAAAATAATACTCCCTCCGTCCCAAAATTTTTGTTTTATATTGTTTAGATATGTATGTACCTAGTCATATTTTAGTGTTAGATGCATCCGTATTTAGATAAATCTAAAACAAAAAATTTCAGAATGTAAGTAATAGTTTGCACACTAAATTGCTCCCGTGGAGGTCAGCTTACGGTACACTTAGAAGCGAACACAAACCAAATGAAAATAACCATCATAGTTCCACGGAGATATACACAGGCAAACACCGTCCCAAAAGTCACACCCATCCCTATAACAAACAAATGAATGACTTGTGTCACTTTTCAGGCATCATGTTGCTTCTCCAAGTTTTTCGGGATTTTCAGCGCACATTTTTTCCTAATTGCTTTAGTTTTGTGAACGGTCTTTTCGTTCTGTCTCACATATTAATTGTAATAACATCTTATGCTATTGGACAAATGAAGTAGTATTTTAAAATTCAAGCACAAAGTAGATATTTGTTCCCCTCACGAGTGCATAACAAAATAGCATAGGCAAAAATGTTACAAATGCTGATAAGCGCTAACTCTAGGCTAACTAAAATGATGTGACCTTGATTTGATATCTATGTGTCTCTTCTGTAAAAACAGCACACATCACTATAAGCAGAGAGCCCACAACATCCCAAAAGACTAGCCTGAAGAAAGTGTGACGCTCTCCCTTATAAAGTGATTCTAGCCCCTTCTCGTAACTGAGGAGGGACTAAAGTCACTTGACAACGCCCAATGGTCAGGTTATGACATTTTGCCATGCCTTGTTTTTCTTTCGTCTCAACCGTGTAGAACAGAGTGTAAACCAATATTCTAAAACAATGAGGATCTATCTGTGAATATCCTCCCCTGGACCGTAACCGAATCCCTTTTGCGGCCCACCCCGGGAAAGTTTCGTGAATTCCCGTTCCGTGGAGACAGCAGCCCAACACCAAAAGCAATAGATTGGAGTACTACTACTACTCTCTCTGTCTAGGTGAGTAAGTCATTTTAGGTTGTGCACCGTGACCAAGGAGGAGGGGAAAACAAGAGAACTTAATGTTCATTTGCTAATTAATAGCATTGCATGCAATGAACTAACCATTGCATGTGTTTGATAGTCTCAAGTCATTAAAAGCATGCACGCCCCACATCTCTTATTGATTAATATGTCAAGAAACAAGAAACGATGTAGGATTTAATGCACCGCGTCTAAGTGTTTTGAGATTATTTGGTTTTCGTAAAATGACTTACACACGTACACGCCTAGACGGAGGGAGTACTAGTAAACAAATTTCGAGTGGCCAGCAGCCAGGAGGATCCATCTCCCTCCCTCGCGGCGTTTCTTGGATTTGGCTCCGGAGGAGGAATCCGGAGCGCCCCATCCGCGTCTCTCGATCGAATCGCCGGCCCCCCCCGATCCCGTCGCCCGGTGCGGTTCGAATTCGGCCCGGAATTGGCGTTCGGTTCGGGGGCGGGGCTGGATTCTTGATTGGCTGGCCGGGTTGTCTCCGCGGGGAGGCTCCGTCCGCCGGGAATCGCGCCTTCCTCGTCTGCCCAAGGTGAGCGACTTCTCCTGTCGATCGGTTGGTTCGGTGCAGCTGTTAGCGCTTAGCGGCGGGGATTCTCTGCGGAATTCCCCCCCTTGTTTCTATCGGAACTTTACCAGGAGAGAATTTCAATGTTTCTTTTGTACTGTATGTGCTAAATTCGGAGTCTTTGTTCGAATCTCTCTGAGCGATGCTGTATTACAGACGAAAAAGAACCCATGCTCTCTCCATTTTTTATTTAAAGAATACTAATCTTGGTAATTGTGGTGGTCAGTTACCCAAGCATATCATCAGATTGTGCTGTTTTTAATCATGTTATATGTTACCACTTTAGTGACCTAAGACGTCTTATATATGTTGACAGAGGGAGTGCGAAATGCTAGTACTAGTTTCTCTAGGATCATTGCTCAAATAATACCAAGCTGTGCAATGCCATGCTTGCCAACAATGGCTAAACATTGCGACTCTTAATACGCGATTCTTTCCGCCAGGGAAATGTGCTAACGAGGGTCTGATGGGGCGTGATGGAGGGCAGGAAAGAGAGGGGGAGATCTCGTAGAGTGTTTCGGCGGATGGCGATGCAGTGCCTCTGCTCCGGGGAGCAGGCCAATCTGGTGGATGAAAATGGCGAAATCGAGTTGTATGCCAAAAATGACGGCCTTCGGGAAGCCGAGTTGTCTCTCCAGGAGGGTGGATCCCTTAACTATGAGGTTGGTGCTTCATCTTATAATAACATAAATCTTCTCATTTTGAATTGTCTACTGCGATGCCTATATCACATTTTCCTTGTATGTTTGCTTCATGCCGAACGATACTATATGCAACTGAAGTCCTTGTGCTGTTTATTGGACTGTTTCATGTATCGATTGTCTATATTTTTTTTCCTCCAGAAGAGGTTTTTTTTTGGTCTTAGACTCTGCTGCATAATGTGTCCAAAACATCTGTCTTTGACAGATCATGCGTGCTTTCTGAAATTATAGGTGCCTCTGCCTGCTATTTCTCTTCATTATAATTGTATATTGAATTTTATGCTAGTTTGTAGTTACCATCATATAAATCACAACACAGTAGATACTCTGAATTTCTCCACCCTGTGTGCTGTAGTACACCAGTCTGCAATTTGTACTCCACCAATCTGCAGTTTTTTGCTGTTGGTATGCTTTCACATGTGTAAGAAAGATGCCTTGCCTAATGATTGTAAGCTTGATAGCCATCCCAATAAGGGTGCTCCAAATTTATTTCATTCATAGTTCATAAGTGTAAATACCAATAATTTTTCAGGAAGCAAGGGCATTGCTTGCAAAAGTCGAGTACCAACAGGGGCATGTTGAAGAAGCACTTCGTGTGCTTGATGGGATAAACATGGCTGAACTAATTCCTATGGTGAAAATGTCCATCTGTAGATTAGCAAGGGCCGATCCACATTCCAGTTATCCACCAATGTCCTTGCATACTGTTAATCTAGTAATGGAGACCATATATCTCAAAACTATAGCACTTCGTGATCTTGGGAAGTTCAAAGGTATGACCCCTACCTCTCGTTTTTGTATGGATGCCCATCATTTGATCTTCTCTTCATTTCTGTCATACTATTTTTCAAACATTACTTCAACTCAATTTCGTTTTGCAGAAGCTGCACAAGAATGCAGTACGATATTGGACGTTGTAGAATCGGCACTGCCTATGGGCTTACCAGCCAAGTTTGGAGATGGTAGTAACTTGAATGCAACAATACGCAGTGCCGTTGAGTTGCTTCCTGAGCTATGGAAATTAGCGGATTTCCCTCCTAAAGTGCTCTCTTCATATAGGGGGGCTCTTCTTAGTAATTGGAATCTGGATGCAAAGGCCATTGGTAGAATACAGAAGGAGTTTGCTATTTTTCTCCTATACAGTGGCTGTGAGGCCTGCACTCCACCTCTTCGATCCCAATTGGATGGTTCATTTGTACCTCGGAATAATTTGGAGGAAGCTATTCTTCTTTTGATGATTTTATTGATGAAATTCAACCTTAAGAGGCTTGAGAGAGACCCAACTGTGATGCATCATCTGACTTTTGCATTGTCCATATCAGGACGGTTAAAACCTCTAGCCGGTCAGTTTGAAAAACTATTACCTGGTGTGTTAGACAGCAGAGAGTGGTTGTACAATGTTGCACTGTGTTACCTAGCAGAAGAAGATGATCTAGCTGCCCTCAATCTGCTCAAAATGATACTAAGATTTGGAGAGGACCCCAGTTGTCTCAAAGAACTTCTTCTAACTTCAAAAATTTGTAGCGAGAACGGTGCACATGCTGAAGAAGGTGCATCCTATGCACGCAGAGCCCTTGCTAGTCTCGATGGAGGTTGTGACCAGTTAGAGGTTGTCGCGGACCTTCTACTTGGCATTTCCCTCTCCCATCAAGCTAGATATGCTCCGAGTGGTACGGAGAGGGCTTCTCAGCAGCGTGAAGCCCTGAAGGTGCTTGGTGTTGCTGAAAAGAAGATGCAAGACAAAGATTTTAGGGTACTGTACAATCTGAGCCTTGAAAATGCTGAGCAGAGGAAACTAGATGCAGCAGCACTTTATGCAAAGAAGCTACTGAAATTGGAGAATGGTTCAGAATTAAGGAGCTGGCTCCTTGTAGCTCGTATCACGAGTGCTCAAAAACGGTTTGAAGATGCTGAATCTATTGTAAATGCTGCCCTTGATCAGACTGCAAAGTGGTGCCAAGGAGATCTGTTGCAAACCAAAGCCAAAATTCAGGCTGCAAACGGGCAATTTAAGAAGGCAGTCGAGACTTATACCCAGCTTCTTGCTGTCATCGAACTCAGGAAGAAAAGTTTCAACTCTGGGATTTTTGTATTACAGGTAACTACCTGACAAAAATCGATTTTGGAGTTTTTGCTAAAGCATGGGACTGTCGTGCTTAATATGTTCACAGTATTATCTTTCATTTCTGTACTATATCTATTTGCATATATGATGACAAACTGAAAATAAAAATCTGTATCTGTTAAATAAATAACCTTTTACTGTAATAAGAAAAAGCCAGCCCGAACATTTTTTATCATATCTTTGATTAATGACAGCTAGAATGACAAGCATCTTACATGATTTTTAAGCATATACCCATGTCAGGAATATTGCTTTTGAATAAAAGGGGAGAGCATTGTTCTGTTTGCCACATACAGTTATGGGATTCCATTAGAAAAAGAAGTGATAAGACTTCTCTGATATCGCTGTTCAACTTTTCGCAGGGCACGAAGGATGATGGAAGCATGGAAACAGAGGCATGGTACAATCTGGCCCTTCTGTACCTAAGCCTGTCACAGTGGAGGGATACAGAGCTTTGCATATCCAAAATAAAGGCTATCAGTGCATATTCTCCCTTGGCTTATCATGCTACAGGTGCTTCATATTCTCCTTACCAGCAACTTCCCCGTTCTCAAGAATCCTTGCACCGTGTTGACACAAAAACATTTTCAGTAGTTCACAAGGAGACAACAATTCTTCAAAACAAAATTCGTTCTTAATATTTATGAAGATGTTTATCCATGCAGGAAAGCTACTTGAAGCAAGAGGGTTTCTAAAGGAGGCTCTTGGAGCATACTCCAAAGCATTAGATCTCGACCCTAAGCACGTACCGAGTTTGATATGTGCCGCCGTTGCTCTTCGACAGCTTGGAGGGAGGCCCTTGCCTGCCGCAAGGTGCCTCCTAACTGACGCACTGAGACTGGACAGAACAAACCATGTTGCATGGTTTAACCTCGGTCTAACCTATGAAGATGAAGGGGGCAGTTCATCAGCGGCACTCGAAGCTGCGGAATGTTTTCAGGCGGCTGCCCTTCTCGAAGAAACCGCCCCGGCTGAACCTTTCAGATAACATCGCATCCAACTTTTATAGGGAATAATCAAACTGTGAGCAGTTGTAGGTCTCATATATAGGATGAATAGTGGGTTTGAAGAAAAGAAGTATACACGGTACAGAAAATAGTAAAAATACAAAACACATGTATCATCATAATTGCGTTGATTTTACCAACATGTTGAAATTATATATAGCATCACACGCCTTGGGCAGCTCTTGTTTGACAGGCAACTTTTTGCTATGTGATTTGGCTGTAATTTTGATAGAGCACACGTAAAACGTTGTTAATATCACTTCACTATCAGTACATTTTGACCAGCACAGAATGCAAATTAGATGTTGTAAATTTGTAATAAGTACTAAGGCAGAGATTGAAAATGAATGCATATTTTTCACAGAGTAAACGTCAGTGGAAGAACCACAACCATCACACTTCCCAAACAACTGGATTGGATGACAAGTTCCAGGTTATGTGAAACCAAATACTCCCTCCATTCCCTTATACAAGGCCACAAACTTATATTACATGTATCAAGATAAAATTTAATGACTCCTTTGCAAGTCAATTTTTCTTTTAGTTAACCGGGATCATTAATACACCATAAAGATGCAACAAATGAGGGCCTCTTTGATTCATAGGATTGCAAAAACACAGGAATAGGGAAAACATAGGATTGGAATGGCATGTCCATTGGATCCCTATAGGATTTGAGTTTGTTTGATTGTGTCGCGGGAAAAACAAAGGATTTCTTCCAAAATGTTGGAGTGGATGTTGGAATTCCTATAAAATGTAGTACAAATGAATTCTTAGGAAAAAATTCTACAAGATTCAATCCTACGAATCAAACAACCAATGTAAGAAAAATTCCTAAGGATTCTAATCCTTCAAATATCTTATGAAAATCCTTTGAATCAAAGAGACCCTGAATGGGAAGTAGATGAGTGTCATTATGACTACATGCATGTAAGTATTAAAAAGTTGCTAGTACAAGGAAACATCATTATTTTTTGTCTCGATTACTCTTGGTGACCTTGTATTGATGCAAAACGTATTTTTGATAGTGGCCTTGTATAAGGAGAATGGAGGGAGTATTTTTTTTAAACTGTCAAGCAACATTTTTTTAAACTGGCAAGCAGCCGTGCCTCTTCGAAACAAAAAAAAACATATTTTTTTCTCCCGCGCGAGGCACGGATTTGCTTCCGCGAGAGGCACAGTCGTGCCTCGGATTTGCTTTCGTAACGTGCCTATGAGAAACGAAAAAAACCACGTTTTTTTTCACGAGAGGCACAATTCAACGGTAAAAAAACATGTTTTCGGTTCGGTTTTTCGTCTGATTATCAAAAAAAATGTTTTTGTCAAAATCTGTCAACATGAATCTAATTTTAAAGATCTTGATGCGGGGAATCCAACGGTAAAAACGGTTCAAGATTTGGATGCACGGTTTTATAGATAGAACATTTTGAATAAACGAATCTATGAAAAAAGAAAAACTTTCTAGGTTGCAAAAACTGACACACATGCGCCACTTGTTGCAACCCGAGGAGGTTGGAGTGACCTTTGTAAAGGGTGCTCCTTAATTAGTGATTTCGACCGATTTTCTTTCTGTTTTTCCTTCACTTTTCCTTTCAGTGTTTTTCGTTATTTTTTATTTTTTACTTTTACTTTTTTGCCAACCTCTGTTTAAATTCATGTTTTTTTTTCATATTTTTCATATTTTATGATTTTTTAAAATCGGTGAACTTTTCTCAAATTCATAATTTTTTTTCAAAAATGTGATTTTCCGAATTCGTGAACGTCATTAAATCCACATTTTTTTAAATTTATGAACTCCTCGTATCCAAAAACTTTAGCAAATCGAGGAACTTTTTTCAAATACATAAGCATTCATAAAATGAATGAACTTTTTACAAAATCCACAAAATGTTTTTGAAACTCATCAAATTTTCTCAAATTAATGGACTTTCTAAATCTTAAGCTTTTTGAAATCCGTGAACATTTTTTTCATATCAGAGCACTTTTTTCAATTTCACAAACTTCTTTTCAAATTCATATTTTTTTCCAAAATTGCACAGTTTTTTGAAATCATAGTTTTTTAAGTGCACAATTTTTCAAATTAAACTATATTAAACTGGTGGCCATTTACTTAGCGAACGTGCCTCCTGAAAGAGGATGTACGAGAGGGATAAGGTGTACTTTTGGGCTGTGGCCCACATAGCAAACTAGCGAGCACCAGGGAGGCCTATCGGCGTCTGAAGCGCTGAATAGGAAGTCTCGGCAAATCTTATTTGGCGCTTTATGCGCCAGTTTATAGTGTTTCTGCAAACCGGCGCCTGAAGCTGCTCCCCCCACCTGCGCACTACCTCGCACACTGGGCCGGCCCATTAACTTCTTTTTTCTTGTTTTAAAGCAACCAAAATGTTGTGCCCCACGAGACTCGAACCAGGGAGGTCCTATACGGCGCTGCAGGCGCCCATTCGTGCTCCTGGCGCCTGCAGCGCCCCGCGCTGGGCCGGCCCATTAAACGCAAAGCCTGGCGAATGCAAAAGCTCGCAAAAGAAAACGTGAAAAAAATAGCTATATACAGGTTTCGAACTCAGCACATCGAGTTCGCGTACAGGTACCACCAGCCACACGAGCTACTTGCTTTCTACTCTCTCTATTCCTAAATATTTGTCTTTTTAGAGATCTCAAATGGTTACCACATACGGATGTATATAGACATATTTTAGAGTGTAGATTCAATCATTTTGCTCCGTATGTAGTCACTTGTTGAAATCACTAGAAAGACAAATATTTAGGAATGGAGGGAGTATATGACTAGTAACAGAGGCAAATGCTTAATAACAATGCTGCATCGCTGTTTCATTGCAAAAATCTATCTCACCACTTCAATTTTTTTGAATAAAGAATGCATCAATTTTAAAAGGCATTCGTATAATCCATGAATTGAAAGGATAAGTACAAAAAAAGGAAAAATTCATGAATTCGAAAAATGTTCATCAGATTTGAAAAAAATTCATCAAATTTGAAAAAAAGTTCGTGAATTTGAAAAAAAGGTTCATAGAATTTGAGAAAAAAGTTCATCACTTTTAAAAAATCCATAGAATATTTTAAAAAATATTCATTGAATTTCAAAAAAAGTTCATCGAATTTTAAAAAATTCATCAAAATTCAAAAAGTTCATAAAAAATCAAAAAAGTTCACAAATTTAAAGAAAAACTTCAGGAATTGAAAAAAACACGCAATAAATAAAACAAAAAAGATGAGAAAAAGGAAAAAAAATAAACCGAGCTGAAGAACGAAATAAAAAGAGGAAAATAATCTACTTTTACACTCGTGAGAGGATAGCCTGGTGGCTAGTGCCGAGCCCTTAAAATGGTAGGGTCGCGAGTTCGATCCCCCATTCCGCGATCTTTTTGACCTTTCGAAAAACAAGAAGGAAAAAATTGAATGGGCCGGCCCAATTTGGATTGCTGCAGGCGCCCGCCGTTTGCAAATTATACTGTAATATAAGCATTTATAGAGATTGTAATATGGACTACATACGGATATATATAGACGTAGTTTAGAGTGTAGATTTACTCATTTTGCTCCGTATGTACTTTATACTGGAATCTCTAAAAAGGCTTATATTTACGAACGGAGAGAGTACTTGTATGCATGCAGTCATAATGACACTGAGCTGCTTCCTTTCCATTCATTTCTTGCATGCATATAACGTATTAATGATGCCGGTTAACAAACAGAAAAATTGGCTTGCAAAACAATTATTAAATTTTACCTTGGTATCTGTAATCTGAGATTGTGGCCTTGTATAAGAAAATGAAGAAGTAGTATAGATCGATCTAACCAAGTGGGCAACCCGACCTCATGTGATAGATTTGTTTTAATTCTTAACATACAACACTGGAAAACACACTGTTTCGTGTTTGGTCTTCTTTTTCTCTCTCCTTCTTGTCTTTTTTTTTCTATTTTGTGCTTTCTTTTTCTTTTCGTAAATGCACGAAGTATTTTAAATTCTTGAAATTTTCTTCAAAAATTGGTGAACTTTTTTCCAAAATTGATGATTTTTTTCCAAACTCATGAACTATTTTAAAATTTGGTGAATTATTTTTTCAAATTTGAGGATCTTTTTTGAAAATCGATGATGTTTTCTTTTTCAAATTTTATGAACCTTTTATAATTCTTATGAACTTTTTAAAATCAATGATTGTTTCAAATTTGATGATCTTTTTTAAATTCAATGAACTTTTCCTAATTTTTATGAACTATTTTCAAAATTGATGAACTTTTTTCAGATTCATATTTTTTCCAAAATCCATGAACATTTTAAAATTGACGATTGTTTTTTCATCTTTTTTTTCGTTTTTACTAAAGTTATTGGTAAAAAATTTAGCGGCTGACCGGTCAACCCCACCAGTCAGCAGGGAACCAGCCTAAAAAAATTAGCAGCAAACCCAGCGAGGCAGCGACCAATAGCGATCGAGTGCTGAGCGAGCGAGCTCGTTGGGCCAGCCTAAGTAGCGGCTCTGTGGCGCCTTTTCCGTGAACGAGCACTTGAAGCGTTGTACAGGAGCTCCCGAGGTCTCCGGAGGGACTCCCCTAGTGAACGATTTTCGGTCACTTGAACACTCCCATGGATCAATTTGTTCGTACATGAATCTCCCAAGGGGATGTGCTCACCAGATATTGTGGTCCAAAGAAAAAATTCTCGTTTGATAACAGTGTAAACATGATGCGCCTACGGTGAGTTCGTAAATCTCAAGATGATATGCCAGCTAAGTCTCTCGAATGTGCTCATAGGGGTAAGGTGCTTGCGTTGTGTTAAAAAAAAGCTACATACGATCAACATAATTTACCATTTATTAGGACAAAAGAGACTTTTAATTAGTTAGGCTGCGTCTAGGGAGCAGCCGGCTGTGCTCCCTAGCGTTTCTTGGCGGCCCTCCATATATAGTAACTTTATGTCCCTCTATCCAGGATAGGAAAGCCCCTGGTCCCCCCTCCCGATTCCCGCGTCTAACTATCGAGCAAGCGAACTCACCTGGTCCTCCCCTTCCCCCGGTCCCTCCCCCACCCCTGTGCGTCTCCTTTTCTCCTCACCTAACCCCCAGCCCCATCTTCTTCTCTCCCAAGCCAAAAAGAACAACACGCCCCTTCCCCTCACCACTTCCAGATCCACATAACCTTCACAACCCTCCAATGGCGGCTCCATTAGGGTTTCTTCTGTAGGCAAATCTAGGGGGCTCCATTCAGATTGCCTAGCAAAAGGCAAAAAAAGCACAGGAAAAAGGTCAGATTTAGTTCACTTCCAGATCCCTCCTCTTTCCCCATGATTTGTACAAGGCTGCAATTATGCAAAAAATTGTGTAAAAGATGTGATGTTAAGCATGTTTAGTCCGATGTTTGAGCAAGTTTCAGCCCCCTGTTTTGGGCAAATTCAGTAGTGTTGTGCACCCTACGTGATAGTTCTTGCCAATCTGATGCATATGAACACATTGTAAGCAAGTGCTGATAGTATTGCTGGGGACAAAATATCATAACTTAAGCAAAAATTTTGACAGAGCAAAACAGTGCTTACAAGAGGATGAAAACGGTGCTATCATGGTCTATTTACAATGTGTTCGAGTTCTGTTAATTGCTTATGAAAATGTTCTTGGCAAACTAGAAAATAGTACTATCATGATCTATTTACAATGTGTTCCAGTTCTGTTAATTGCTTATGAAAATGTTCTTGGCAAATTAGACATTCTATTTGAGCAAAAACACTGCTATCATGAAGCAACTAGTATATGGTATATACACAACTTTGGAATCTTATGACATGGCAAAACATGAACCCTTTTGTACCTTATAAGACGATGAACACTGAGCTCACTATGGAAAAGAAAAAGGCAAAAAGCAAGGCTTTCTCTTAGCAGACCGTTTTGTTACGTGTGGAGCAAAAACAAATGGCTGATTGGAGCAACTTGCATTATAAGATTGAGCAAAAGCATAATAATGTCCAGGCAACTCCTGATGAAGCTAGAAAAACATTCCTCTTGGTCATTTGTTTCCATTATTCTTTGGTTCAGAAGTGAAAAACATGAGAAGAATATAAGTAAGGACATGTGCAGCTAAAAAACAAGAGAGACTGGTGCATAGTACAATTTACCTTGGTTATAGCATATTCTTCAACATGATCCAAAAAATGTTGGAAAGTTGACAAGATACAGTTGCAAATTTATTGGTATTTCATCCTGCAAGAAAGAAAAAAACAAGAAAAACCATATACCAACAACTATCTCAGTTGCGAAAACGTTACTTCAACCAATTGTGCAAAAATGGAAACCACATTGAACATAGTAAAACATAGCCAAAACACACAAGCTTGCTACTAGTACAATAAAGATGAAAACATAGGTACTGAATATAGTCTAAATATAAAGGGCAATCATGCCCATAACTACTAACTTAAGTTTTTTTCTAACACAAAACATGCTCTATTCTCTCTGATTTTGGAGTGAATTCCATTCTGGAGACACTTCGAAAGTAGCACTTCTATGGCAGGAGGCTTGCTTCACCAAATCAATGTTGCGTGCGTTTAACAAAAACAAATAAGAAAATATATTATGGTACACAAAAAACAAGCCTATGTTATATGTAAAAAATGTTTCATTAGTACAAAAAAACCATGGATTTCCTGAAAATATATTGCCTAACATATATAGTTTGATTTGCCTGGTTATATGGTTTGGACTGCCTGATAGTGTACTTTGAATTTCCTGGTTATATTCAATTGTTTCCTTAAAAACAAAAATGAATGCTATCATGTGAATCTGGTGTGCTTGGGTTGCTGTGTTACTTGCTTGCCTGTGTTTAGTGTGGTACTAGCTTGCCTCAACAAGCTAAATTGCTTTAATTTTTTTGGTTGAAAAAAATGCACATGTTGAAGATGATTGACCTGTTTGTGGTGTGCTTGGGTGGCTGTGCTATTGGCTTGCCTATTTTTACTATGCTACTTGCTTGCATCATTCTGCTGACTTGCTTTACTTTTTCTCATGTTGAAAAAAAATAAACAAGTTGACAATGATTGACCTGAATGAGGAATTAGATGAAAATAATAATCCTTTGTACTATACGCAACATCATGCTGGAAATGCAGAATTTGTGGCGGAATCACCTAATCCCTCTATCATGCAAAAAGTCAATTGTGCTGCTACAGAAGTAATGGCGACAGATGGGCAGTCAAGTCATGGGGGAGGGGCTCCAGGCAGTACACAAGTACCTGCAGCACTAGCAGCTGAGAGTGATGCTCATACCCTTGATGGCACATGTGCCGCAGGTGATACTGGTGGGACTGTCGGTAATGGTTGGTGCTGAAAATGATGATGATGCTTGGTCACAACCCAAGGAGCCTTGTGGGCATGAGGTTTGACACTTTGGAAGATGCCAAGGAGCACTACAATGCATATCCCTTGCAGACGGGTTTTTTCAATCAAAATGAATACTTCAGGGAAGGATGTGAAAACCGGAGAGTTGATAAAACAACAGTTTGTTTGCAACAAGTTTCGAAAGCCTGATGTCGATGACGGAGGGGCAGAAAGGATTCCTGTGCTAGATGACATTGTTGAGCAAGAAAAAGATGATAATGAAGATGAGGCTATTGTCTTTCTTGATGATGATAGTAAAGGCAAAAAGATGAGCAAGAAACGAAAAAGAGATAAAATTGTGCAAACTGGTTGCAAAGCTAAGATGATTGTGAAGGTAATAGATGGCAGATGGGAGGTGATCTGCTTTGTTGGCGAGCACAACCATCCGTTGGTTGACAAGCCATGTTTGACTAAGTATTTGCGATCACACCAAGGGATCCCGCTAGAAGAAAGGGCCTTCCTTACTCATCTTCATAACTGCAATTTAACTACAGGTTTTAAACCACACCCCCTCCCCCCTACCTTCTAACTTTAAGAACCTGGACATGCCTACTGGTTGTGTGTTTCTTGGCCCATCAACAAATAACTGATTTTGCTTGAAACATATGACTGATTTGCTTCAAACATATGACTTAGTTTCTTGATAATGCCATTAAATTACTTATAGCAGTACAAAAAGAGATAATGCCTGATTTGTTTCTGGATACTGGACTTGCCTAATGTTTACCTGTTTGTTGCTCAATGCAAAGTTCCTGCTTGCCTAGTTTTTTTGTCTGTAAAACAAATTTGGTGTTGACTCTAAACTTGCCTATGATTAGTCTCTTTATAGCTAAAATGTACGATAGTACTTGTTTTCTGGATGAGGTCAACTTGCCTATGATTGAAATTTTTATTGCTCACTAATGTATAGTTACCCCCTGTTTGTTTTGTGTATTTTGGTCATGTGTTCTCTGAGGCATATTGTCATATTTGCTTGTATAGCTTCATGAATTGCCCGAGCTTTGCATTTGAGTTGCCTTGCTAAAAATAGAAAAGAAACTATTTTTGATACTGTTTTTGTGCAGAAAAAGGATTGACCACCATTGTGACTTCATGTCAACAGGTCGTATATACCACTAAGCACATTACAAACCTCAAGGCGCTCTTGAACAAGGATGATACAAAATAAGGGGATATGATAGAGACAGTTGCTTACTTTAAAGATTAACAGAGAGAGGATCCAGATTTTTTTTACAAGATAAAATATGATGAGGAGAACAGGGTTGAGAATATTTTCTGGGTCGATGGTGCTGCAAGGAAGGCGTACGTGGAATCTTATCACGATTGTATCTCCTTTGACACAATGTATATGACTAACATTTACAACATGCCCTTTGCATCATTCATCGGGAATAACAGGCATGGGCAGTTATTCATGTTGTGATGTGGCTTTGTTAGGCAAGAGTTGGCGTCAAGCTTTGATTGGCTATTCCAGACCTTCCTTGAGGCAATGCATAATGTAGCACCCACCAACATCATAATCGACCAAGACAACGCAATGGCACAGTTAATTAAAAAAAATCTTCCCTACAAGTGTGCATCGCTGTTGTCGCTAGCATATTATGAAAAAAGCACAAGAGAAGCTTGGAGCATTGCTGGAGCAAAACCCTGGCTTGTCCAAAGATTTCAACAACTGTGTTGACTTCAACTTGATGCCAGAAGAATTTGAGGCAGGGTGGTGTGAGCTGATGATGAAGTATGATGCTATCACTGACTCCCACTTCAAGAATCTATACAAATATAGAGAAACATGGGTATCCTGTTACTTACAGCACCAATTCTTCCCTTTCTTGCAGTCAAATCAACACAATGAGGGGTTCAACGCTGTCCTTAAGCGATATGTGAACCCACACAAGTTCATTTTGAACTTTGTGAAGCAATATCAGAAAATACAAACACACATACTAGTCCGAGAGGGTTCAAAAGACTACATGACAGGACATTTGCAGACTGAAATGTGGTCATCTTACCCAATAGAGAAGCAGGCATACGGATCGTATACTAGGGACTTGTACGAGAAGTTTCGTGATGAGTTTCAGTTGACTACGAGGTACAACGTGCGACCGCATGGTGAAAACTTGTATGAGGTTTACCCAAATCAAGAGTGGGTTGCCAAATATGGTTCTAGGGGTGATACGTCTCCAACGTATCTATAATTTTTGATTGTTCCATGCTATTATATTATCAACCTTGGATGTTCTATATGCATTTATATGCTATTTTAGATGATTTTTGGGACTAACATATTAATCTAGAGCCCAGTGCCAATTTCTGTTTTCCCCTTGTTTTTGAGTATCGCAGAAAAGGAAAACCAAACGGAGTCCAATTGACCTGAAATTTCACGGAGATCATTTTTGGACCAGAAGAAGCCCACAGAGTACCGAAAATGGGCCAGAAGAGTCACGAGGCCACCATGAGGGTGGGGGGCGCGCCCTACCCCCTGGGCGCGCCCCCTACCTCGTGGCCACCTCGGGGACCCCCCCGACTTGTTCCCGACTCCAACACCTCTTATATAATCCCAAACTTTTAGAAAGAAACCTAGATCGGGAGTTCCGCCACCGCAAGCCTCTGTAGCCACCAAAAACCAATCTAGACCCGTTCCGGCACCCTGCCGGAGGGGGGAATCCCTCTCCGGTGGCCATCTTCATCATCCCGACACTCTCCATGACAAGGAGGGAGTAGTTCACCCTCGGGGATGAGGGGTATGTACCAATAGCTATGTGTTTGATCTTTCTCTCTCGTGTTCTTGATTCGGCATGATCTTGATGTATCGCGAGCTTTGCTATTATAGTTGGATCTTATGATGTTTCTCCCCCTCTACTCTCTTGTGATGAATTGAGTTTTCCCTTTGAAGTTATCTTATCGGATTGAGTCTTTAAGGATTTGAGAACACTTGATGTATGTCTTGCATGTGCTTATCTGTGGTGACAATGGGATATCACGTGATCCACTTGATGTATGTTTTGGTGATCAACTTGCGAGTTCCCTGACCTCGTGAACTTATGCATAGGGGTTGGCACATATTTTTGTCTTGACTCTCTAGTAGAAACTTTGGGGCACTCTTTGATGTTCTTTGTGTTGGTTGAGTAGATGAATCTAAAATTGTGTGATGCATATCGTATAATCATACCCACGGACATTTGAGGTGACATTGGAGTATCTAGGTGACATTAGGGTTTTGGTTGATTTGTGTCTTAAGGTGTTATTCTAGTACGAACTCTATGATAGATCGAACGGAAAGAATAGCTTTGTGTTATTTTACTACGGACTCTTGAATAGACCGATCAGAAAGGATAACTTTGAGGTGGTTTCGTACCCTACAATAATCTCTTCGTTTGTTCTCCGCTATTAGTGATTTTGGAGTGACTCTTTGTTGCATGTTGAGGGATAGTTATATGACCCAATTATGTTATTATTGTTGAGTGAACTTGCACTAGTGAAAGTATGAACCCTAGGCCTTGTTTCAAAGCATTGCAATACCCTTTACGCTCAGTTTTACCACTTGCTACCTTGCTGTTTTTATATTTTCAGATTACAAAAACCTATATCTACCATCCATATTGCACTTGTATCACCATCTCTTTACCGAACTAGTGCACCTATACAATTTACCATTGTATTGGGTGTGTTGGGGACACAAGAGACTCTTTGTTATTTGGTTGCAGGGTTGCTTGAGAGAGACCATTTTCATCCCATGCCTCCCATGGATTGATAAACCTTAGGTCATCCACTTGAGGGAAATTTGTTACTGTCCTACAAACCTCTGCACTTGGAGGCCCAACAACGTCTACAAGAAGAAGGTTGTGTAGTAGACATCACGGGGCTATTTTGTCACGGTGGAAGCTAGTGCTGGAGACTACAGATGTGACTGCTGCAAGATTGAGAGGGATGGCATGCTTTGCTGCCATATCTTGAAAGTTTTCAACCAACTTGGTGTTGATGAAATCCCAACGCAGTATATACTTAGAAGATGGACACATTTGGCAATTCCCAATGCACCCCTAATGTCGAAGAGCAACCCGATGAGATGCCACCACAGTCGAAGAAGGAACTCAAGCATGCAAATTTGATGATGGATTTTGGTAGTCTTGCTCAGGTTGCTAGTGCGTCAGATGCTACGACGGAAATTGTAAAGAAACATATGCGTGGTGCGTGTCATGAAATCAAAAATCTCAACATGTCAAAGAAGAAGAAACCAGCAGCATCAACAAGTGGGCCCTCTGGTGGTCCTCCACCATCAGCTGGTGGTTTTGCGCCACCACCAAGTAACACTCGGGTAACTAGTGGCCCCGTGGTGCATCCCGAAGGACCTGCACAAGCCCATTCTAGACCTATGCAGCAGCCACCTACTTATGCGCCACCATCGAGTAACACTCACGCAACTAGTGGCCCTGCGGTGCATCCTGACGAACCTGCACAAGCCCCTTCTGGACCTAGGCAGCAGCGACCTACTTCTGCACCATGGAGAAAAAACGCAGCAACGCTAGCTGGTAACTCTATGAGTGAAGATGGACACCAACAAACAACGTTGAGGGCTGCAGCGATGCCCAGGGGGCTGTACCACTGCCCAGGGCCCCTCCAGCACAAAGCTGGTGGCCTGTACAACAACTGCCAGGATATTTGCCACTGAACAGTGGAGCAGCACCGCACCTTTTTAGGGGCTCAACAACAACAAGGCCTGTGCAAGCACTAAGAGGAGCAGCGCCACAACTTTTGATGGATACGACACTAGCAAGAGGGCATGCGCGACCTCCTATGGGTCCTGGGACAACAACCTAGCCTGCACCACAACCTATGGGGGCTATACAACCACCACGGGGGCCTAACGCAGCAAACACAAACTATGTGACTAGTTCTGGACTGGCACCATCGCCTGCATCATTAGCAATAGTTGATGGCAGGTATGGACAACGTCCAGGTTCTTCAACTACACAAGAAGAAAGTGGCAATGCAATTTAATCTCCTATTATGCAAGCTCCTCGTGGACATGCACACCAGCCACTCAGTATTGCATTCCTACATGCAGCTGTTACGGCCACGCAAGGTACTACGATGGTTGAACCACAGTTTGGAAGACCTACTACCACACCTGGCCCTGCAATTCCTAGAGACCCTCCAAAATCAACTACCAAAGGTAGGACAAAGTCGAAAAGAATTCAACCAACACTTGAGCTGCATCCGAAGAGAAAGAACAAGTGCAGCTATTGTGGTTCTGTTAACCACAATGGTGCAAACTGCACGACCAGATTGGTATGATGGTCACACAGTAACCAGATGGCTGAAAGATGTGTTGAATGACATTGACAAATTGAACTATTGTGGGTCTGTATGTTTGAACATCCTAAGCTATTATTTCTCGTTTATGGTTTCTTGTGAGTAACTTGCCTCACACTAGAATTTGAATTGCCTGGTTATGAGATTTGAGTTGCCTGTTGTGTGCTTTGTATTGCCTGACAAAAAATGTAATACAGGAAAATTTGCGCCGTCCAC